AGGTGGGAGCAAAGCCCTATTCTTGCAGGAATCTTCCTGCAACGGGCCTCTAGTATATATATATATGGTAGAAACTTACTTTCTCAGCCTTACCTGCAGCCAGGGAGTGGGGATGCAACGATGCACTCACAAAAGAGTTTGATTTGGAACAGTCAAGGCACAGGCACAGGCACAGGCACAGCAGGGAATCCATTCCAGTGAGGACGTGGAGACTTCCAGGCTTCAGGAGTGCAGTGACCACGGTCCCAGGGGAGCGCCCTAGACCCAGCTCTGGCCCAGTTCGGGCTTACAAGCCTGATTCTCTCACAATCCTAGAGTTTCTGGGATCCTACTTCCCTCAATCCCAATCAAAATGGATGTTGTTTGCAACCAAGGATCTTCCTGATGCGCCTGCCACGTGGCTCTGTGTCACCGGCTCGCTGCGCGGTTGCTTCAGGAAGACGACGGGCCTGGCAGGCAGTCTGTGGGGCTTGGTTACCCTGACACCTACTTCTTGTAACCAAGCTCTCTGTAGCCTATCGGCGGTAAATGGTAGCCTCAGGCAGACAGGTATCTGGAATTTTGTTAGCCGGTTGCAGCAGTGAGCTCAGAAGTGTGTGCTGGCCCTGACGTTCACGTGGTGGCCCAGCTGAGCGCACTGGAGAAAATGAGAGGCTCACTCTAGTCAGCAGCCCACGCAAAGGGGGCAGGATTCCTCCCAACAAGCCATAGGATGGCATCGGGGAGGTGGAGTTCTGCAGCCGAACTTCTTATGAAGACCTAATGAGATGAAAACTCCTCAAGGGCAGAACCTCATGACCTTCTCTGGCTCCCTGGTCTAATTAATAAAAGAACTGACTGATGCTCACGAAATAGATTGCCAAACCTACTAAGTTAGGGTGGTCTCAAACCACAGTCCAAAGAACGCAATTTTAGTCCAAAGAATGCCTGGCTCAGAGGAGTCCTGCAGGAGCCACGCACTGTGTGCTGCTGGACGTGAGTATGGGGGGCGAGAGCAGCCTTCATGTCACCCCTTTCAGGTCATTATCACACGAAGAATGAGAAAGTGAGCACATTGGTGAGCACAAGGTTCTATACCCGTGGTTCTCAACCTTCTGGCCCTTTAAATACAGTTCCTCATGCTGTGACCCAACCATAAAATTATTTTCGTTGCTACTCCATCACTGTAATGTTGCTACCGTTATGAATCGTCATGTAAATATCTGATAGGCAGGATGGTCTTAGGCGACCCCTGTGAAAGGGTCGTTCGACCGCCAAAGGGGTCGAGACCCACAGGTTGAGAACCGCTGTTCTATACTCTCAGTGGAATGTGACCTTTTCCTGAAACCAGGACCCCAGGGACAACCCCTCAGACTTCCTCTCACCCTCACACAGACCTGAATATACCAGCTGATGGAAAAGGGGTTGTGTAAGGACCAACTTTTAATTAGTGATCCATTCACCATTAGTGGTTACCGTCAAAAATATACTTGAAAACATGTCTCAGGGCTTATCTCAAGATCAAATATTTGGCGCTTGTCATCTGAACCCTGAAGAACTCAAATGGAGGGCATTCTGGTGCATGGGAATCATCGGTTTCACACAATTTGTGGTTTGCTTAGTTCCTCATTTTCCTCTCAATGTACATATTCATATAGTTACATAAATTATAGAATAAGTATAGTTGGAATTCCATCCTTATACAAAGTTTCAACCATGTGTGATAAATACGGTATCTTTAGGAAGATCTCATTTCAATGGACTTTCCTAGGTTGAAAACAGTACACTTTTTCAATTTGTTTCATCAATCTGGGCCTTCATTTTCCAACAAAAGAAGAGTTAAAAGCTTATTCCTATGAGACAGTATTTTAGTTTTTACGTTCTGGGAATTCTATTAGCTTTAGCCCTGAATCGCCTGGCTCGTAGTTTAAATATCAGTTCACTGCAAATAGGTCTGAATTTCCATCCACTTCCTACTATACTGGATGCCATTTCCATTCTTGCTTTCGAGCCTTATGGTGGTGTCCCCCCAGCCCCATCCTGAACAATTAGACTGGCTTGTAGGTAGTGACTTCCACGATAAAGCAACGTGTCATTCCAACAGCGAGGCGCTGGGTTTCTTTGTTAGCTGGGAAGCTAACAACATTACAGTGCACAGGGTGCATATAGTAAGAGCTGCGTGGGGGCCTGTTAACGTGGCAGGGCCACGTGCAAGTGCAGTGAATTATTGCTCCTGTCAGCCATTTGAAATTAACTGCAGCCACAGAGAAGGACATCACCCTTTAACCCCATTTGGTCAGGATATTGACTTCTCTCCCCCATCTTCAGGCACCATTGTACCTTTTAGAATAGTGACTTTCAAGCTTTTCTGAGGCCTGCTCAAATACACTGTACATCTCTCACACAGAGAGAAATATAAAACGGCTTAACAAAACCATATTTACTCTCACTACTGTGCTGATCATTTCTACTCTGGTCTAATTAATAAAAGAATTGACTGATGCTCACTAAATAGATTGCCAAACCTACTAATTTAGGGTGGTCTCAAACCACAGTCCAAAGAACACAATTTCAGAAACTATTCCTCAGATATTCAAATAATAAACTCGGAGGCCCCAAAGAACCTAGAGACCAAGCGCTCCAAAGGCAGAGCCTCCTGTTGCAGCTGGAACTGTTGTGAAGACACGTAGCCAGCCCGAAATGACCTCAAACCCCGAAGGTCCTGCTCCCGCCCTCTCCTCCCCCGCTGGGCCCCTCCGCAGGCAGAACCCACCTGGAAGCCCGAGGGCACAGGAGTGTGTAGGCAGAGTCCATCGAAGTCTGCCTCCTGGGCACTGAGCTGCTGGGGACGGGTAGGTGGATGTGCAAGGCAGAAAGAACACCATGGTACGTTATGTAACTCGGAGTCACAGCTGAGCCCAGGCCATGTTCTTTCCTCTCTTGAATAACTCGTATTTGCCTTCGAGTTAATAATTGGCTCTTTTTCTTAAAAACTGTTTTGGTTTCTTGTGCTTTAAAGGTAGTGCTTATTATTACTACTAATAAAGGCTAGGAATGGAAAAAAGGACCGGCCTCTAACCCCCCGCTGCCTGCCTTCCCCACTCCCCACAGGCAACCATTTGCTTCTCTTCTAACCATTTCTTCTGGTGTTTCCCTTCCTATCACGACACAGCGTGCTTGTAGTGACAACTCTGGCTTTGTGCAGTGTAGGGAGGCATTATCGGTTGGTGGCTCAATTTGAAAAATGAAGACTTTTGCTATTTCACTAATTTCCCTTCTCCTGGCTTAACACATACAGCCACACTTTCTAGCCCCCAAGCCTCCCAATACAGTATAGATATAACATCATGTGGCTAAACCAATATTCATTCTGTATATTACCATGATTATGTAAATGTAATTCATCACTAAGTTGTACCCCGTGATTACTTTTCCTTGCTCACTCAAGTTTTTCTTTGGCCTGGAATTAAATTTTAAATTAAAATTCCTTGGTTTTCTCATTTGTGTCATTTCCTATAGACTTATAATAAATTCATCCCCCAAATCTTCCTTTATTGTCTAAGTCTCCTTTCAATATGTTCAAATTCATCAAGTATTCCATCAATTTCATCTCCTTGAAGAATTAATATTTGGCCTGTTCCGATCTATATCTGTTCTCTCTGTTCCTGGTTCAGCTGCTGTCTTAGACTTTCCTTTCACTGTAATCCTGGGAGCTCCTGTCCCCTTTCTCTTGAGTTACATCCTCCATTTCTTGGTTTCCATGTCTTCCTCTTTCTTGGTTCTATCCCTTGTTTTGAAGCAACAGTTCCAGTAGCTTCTGAAAATTGGGTACATCGGAGATAAATTTTTTGAGACTTTGCCTATCTGAAAATGTGTTTATTTGTTATTCTTGTAAGTGCCCTGACCAAGGATTGAACCCACAACCTTGGTGTATGGGGATGATGCTCTAACCAACTGAGCTACCTGGCCGGGACAAAATGTATTTATGCTCACATTGATTGACTGTTTTGAAGGTATAGAATTCTAGGCTGGAATTCATTTTCCTCGGCATTTTGAATGCTCCATGGTCTTCCAGGTCCCAAATATTGCTGTTGATAAGTTCGCACCCATTCTGTTACATGACTCTATGTTACTAATTTTTTTCTATCTCCCATCATGGTCATAAGATGGCTGCCACATTTCCAGGCATCGCACCCACATACTACAATATGTAGTAGAAGAGTCATCTCTTTCTTCTGTGTCTTTTTAAAAGTAAGAAAACCTTTCCCAGAAATTCCTCACTGACTTCCTTCCCCACATCTTTGGCCAGAGCTGGGTCACAGCCTGCATTTAATTCAATCATTGACAAAAGGGAGTAGGATCACTCTGATTGGCTTGGACCATCATGTTTGAGATAAGGTCCCTTTTTCTGAGGAATCGATATCTGAACAAAATTAGGATTCTGTTAGCAGGTAAGATGTGGGATGGCTGTTGGCTAGGCAACCAAAAATGTATGTTATAGCATGGGGCATCTGACATATAGTAAGCATTTAATATACTAGTATATTAGCTACTGTTATTAACTATCTTTAAAATATATTTTTATTGATTTCAGAGAGGAAGGGAGAGGGAGAGAGAGACAGAAACTTCAATGATGAGAGAGAATCATGGATCAGCTGCCTCCTGCATGCCCCGCACTGGGGATCAAGCCTACACCCGAGCAGGTGCCCTAACCGGGAATCGAACCATGACCTCCTGGTTCATAGGTCAACACTCAAACACTAAACCACACTGGCTGGGCTACTGTTATTAACTATTAATAGCTATGTGAACTTATTCAAGTCACATACCTCCTAGAGCTCCAATCTCCTCATTTTTAATATGTGAATAGGATTATCTGATTTGTTGGATGGTTATAAAATTAAAAGAGATGACAAATATGAAGTCTTTGTGTTTAATAAATGATAGCCATTTATCATAGTTGCATTTCATTATTGCCAGAGTACTTGGGCAGCAAGTTGAGGTCTCTAACAAAGTTTCCTGAGGTTGGCCCCAGCCAGGTGTAACTAATTTTTTTCCTGCAGCTCACAGAATCTTTCCTTTGTCCCTTGTGTTCTAAAACTTCATGATTATGTGCCTTGTTATAGTTGTTTTTTTTTTCTCAGCTCATGCACAGTGAGCCCTTTCAATCTGGAAATGTATCCTTCAAGGCAGAGAAATTTTCTTGATCATGTCTTTGATGATTTCACCCTTCCATTTTTGATATGCTCTTACTCTAAAACTCATTATTCACATGTTGGACTTCCTGACTGACACGATGGTTTTGTATCTTTTATCTCCCATTTTCTTTTTGCTCCATATTCTGGAAGATTGCCTCAACTCTAGCTTCTACTTCTCTTACTGAGTTTTTCACTTCTGCTATCCTATTTGTAATTCTTTCCTATTCTCTAAATACTTTTTATTTGGTTGCAATGTCTTCTCTTATTCTCAAAAAATTAAAATTCCAAAAATGATATCTCTCAGCATAGTTTCCTCCAAGATCTTTTTTTCTCAATGTTTTAGCCTCTATCTTGGATCTTAGTTTTCTACAATGACTGGTAGTCCTAGGCTACTTGCTCACATTTAATATCATAACCTGAAACCCGATTGGAAGAGAGCTTGGTGGGGGTTACTGATGGTAGATGTCACGGTGCTATAGCTAGTCTTATCCTATATAATAAAAGCCCAGCAACTGAATGGCGGAATGACCAGAACGACTAGTCGACCAGTCGCTATGACATGTACTGACCACCAGGGGGCAGACACTCAATGCAGGAGCTGCCCCCTGCTGGTCTGTGCACTCCCACAGTGGGAGTGCTGCTCGGCTGAGTGGGATGAGCGGTGCTCACACAGTGGCTGATCCCCGCAGGCCATGCCCCCCACCAGTGCATGAATCCCGTGCACTGGGCCCCTAGTATTGATATAAGATTCTCAGAGAAGCTTCCCACTCCCTGCCTGGAGGTCATTTGGGAGAAGATGGCTGAGGTCTTAATGTCTAGCAAGCCTTCACTTAATCCCTATTTTCAACATAGGATCCCCCTCTCAATAGTGCTTAACGTCCCCAGTCCAGAGACATCCTACCCTCCAGAGAACACAGTATCCAGGTGCCACGGAAGGAGCAGCAGTTGCCTTGCTGAGGTTGGAGATCTGGGTTTGCATTTGCTTCAGTGCTGCCGGTTATTATGCTATTGTCTCCCAGTTCTAAGCTCAACTCTCCTGTACTCAGCTTTGCAACACTGTGGTTGGGACCCTGAAAACCATCATTTCGCCAGCTGTTCTCTGTTCGGCTCTGCCCATAGAGGGCAACAGAGGGAAACTGGAAGGCTGGGGACACAAGGGCAAGCTACTTCCTGTTTTCTTCCCGCTGCTGTGAGTAGCACCCAGTGAAGCGTCACTGCAGCAGCAGGGCCTTCCTGCAGCAACAGCTTCAGTCAGTTTGCAGTGTTTCCAGCACTCACAGAACCAGCCTGATCATGGCCCCCACGCCAGCGACAGGAGCACTAGCCGAGCAGCAACCCCTTCTCACCGGCCTGGGTCCCAGCCCCACAGGCCTCTCCTCCAAGCTTCTAGGTTCTAATAATTCCATCCTTTCCCCTTTTTCCTGCAGCTCTGGGAGCGATACCTTGCAGTCCTCTTTTTACCCTTTCAGTTATCTAGTTAACAACTTTATGCCTAGTTAGCAGTTCTTTATATTAAATTCCTTCTATTGAAATAATTGGTGTGGTTTCTGTCTCCTGACAGATCCTGGCTGATACACCCACTTTCAATGAAACCTCTCATTTTTTCCAGCCCTGTTTATACTCCCCTTTCAGAGGTATGGGTTGCTTCCAAATCCAGAGTCTTTCTGGAGTTTCACACCAGAAATTAGCTCGCTTCTCGGCCTCCCTACCCTCTTGAGAAACTTGAGACTCAGCCTCATCTGGTTGGCTGGGTCAGTCACTGCTTGTCCATCTGCTTTCTTGCTTCTAAAATTTTGTTGCTGTTTTCTCTGCCAACTTCTTTGTCCTTTTAGAGTTTTTGCTTTTTAAAAAAAATCTTGTTTATTGTCATAATGTAATTTGGGGAGGAAACTCAATGCTTTAAAAAAATAAGAACAAGAGACTAATGTTGAAAGGGAATGGCAGCAAACTTGGAGGAAATATTGCCACAAGAAGTCGTGGCTGTCTCCCCTGGGGAAGGAGAGTGCAGAGGGTCTAGGAGGAGGAGGCGGGGGCACGTCATTTACTCTGTTCCTACATCCTATCTGCGAGCTTCAATCATCCTGTGCACGATCAGTTTCACAATTTTTGAGCAGGTAAACATCAGCGTACAACTGTTATCAGTTGGTGTGTATCCCGCTGCATAAAACTGAAATTTGACCACAGAGGTTCAACCAAACAGGAGTATAGTTTTCTCCCATAATCAAGTTGAGGGGAAGGCAGCCAGGATTAGTACACTATCTCCTTAGTGGCCATGGGCATCTAGGCTCCTCTTAGCTTTGGGTAAGATCATGCTTGGCTTTTGTCTTTATGCTTCACCTCCGAGTATCACATCCATATTCCAGGAAGATGGCAGAGGACAAAGGGCAAAAAGCCAGAGACAAGCTAACTGAGTTGGCCCCTTTAAAAAGTGTTCCTTGTACACCTGAAACTAATATTATGTTATATGTTTACTAGAGGCCCGATGTACGAAATTCATGCAAGAGTAGGCCTTCCTTCCCCCAGCTCCCGGTACCGGCTTCCCTCCGGTACCCGGGACCCGGGCTTCCCTCACAGCCCCAACTTCGTCCAGAAGGACATCAGGTCTAATTAGCATATTATGCTTTTATTATTATAGATATGACCACTAGAGGCCCGGTGCATGAAATTCGTGCATGGGTAGGGTCCCTAGGCCTGGCCGGTGATCAGGGCTGATCAGGTTCCCCACCTCCCCGCCTCCCTG